TACATATTCAAAACCTACATTAAAATCTCTTTAAAGTTGTAAACTCCAAATTAGAATATAATTAAAAATTGACATCCTGATTAAGTGAACGAAACGAGACTGTTTGACTAAGAAAAGTCAAATTTGCAACTCTTTTTGGAAATTGTAAAATTTTGAGGGAGTAATAAAAAGAATGGATAAGGAGGGAGTGAGTTTTTAATTTCGACACATCCTTGACAATGTTGAGTTTTTTTATTTTATTTTGTGCATGTAGTAATAAAAAAACGAAATTAATATACAAAAAAATTCACCACCTCATATAGTGATGGCCTGGACTCTTCTGGCCTCTCATGCAACGATTTCACCCATTGGTCCTATATACCACTAATAGAGAAAAGAACCAAACTTGGCGGAGGTGAACGGCGGTTCCCGGCGTAGTAGATGGTGGCACGGTAGTAAAGCATTGCCATATCATGGAAGGTCTCGCCGCTCCGTCGAGACGCAAGGTGATGGTTGTGGCGGACCCCACCAGGGAGTCGGCGGCCGCCCTCGAATACGCCCTCTCCCATGCAATTCTAGAAAACGATACGCTGTACCTTCTCCACGTCGAGAACCCCAATGCGTGGAGAAACCAGATCGGGTCATTCTTCAAATGGCCCCCGTCGTCGGCATCCAATAGGACCGCCGCCTCAGACGGCGGAGCCGCCGCCCCGGTATGCGGTGGCGGCCCGCATGTGGAGGTGGACTTCTTAGAAGCCATGAAGCGTGCATGTGAGGTTGCGCAGACGAAAATGGTGGTGCATGCTGAGAGGGTGGCCATAATGGATGGGAAGGATAAAGCTTCGGTCATACTTTCTCAGTGTTCAACGCTTGGGATTGATCTTCTCATTATTGGGCAGAGGAGGACTCTATCCAATTCAATTTTAGGGTTAGAATTAATGCATTTCTTAAATTTAGCCTCTATTTCATTTGTTTTCATTTGCATGCACACCACTACAAAACGTACCACTGCATAAACTGATAAGCCTTAGCTTCGAATCCTTATAAATGTGATGAGAGATCACTTTGTAAAAGTACATATGGTCCGTGCATGTACTTTGGCAAGAGCCCAAGTACTCCCTATTTAAGGTTCAATTTACATCCTCTCATTTTACTGTTCGATCGGTGTTTTAATTACATCCTCTCATTTTACGGTTGATCGGTGTGGAGGGCAATGGGGATCGAATGCCTTTTTTTATGCATAAATTGGTTAGGGCCATTACTAGACCGCGTCATTTCAGTTTTTTGTGAAAAGGATTTTGAAGGATTTTGGGGTGGACTGATTTAAAGAATTTTTCAAACACTTATACACATATATTTTCACACTAAAAATACAAAGAATTGTTAAATTTGGAGTATGGGGCCCGGTTGCCCCCCTCTACCTCCGCCCTGGTTGATGGAATTCTAAGCATTTCCCTTCATCTTCGTAACTCATCCTTCTCAGCTAATTTCAATGACGACATTTCTTCCACATATAGCAAAGAGAAATAAGCTAGGAGCAACCGGGCTTGTAATCCTGATGGAAAATAGTTTTTACTTTGATTATAAAAGCATACAGAGTATTATTTTGACAATTTTCAATAAATTTGACAATTATAGGAAGTTAAATGTTGATGGAAGAGGTGACCAGTCAAAAGTCAAAAGTTGAAGGAATACTGATTGACTTTTAAAAATGGATTGAAGTTGGAAAAATGAGATATTAATAGAAGGTAGATTGTTTGATACTTTAAAGTACTATACCTTTGTCCAAATAAACTAATCAAAATAATGTAATTGAATTATATAAATGAAAATTAAAAGTGATATAATGTCTTGAACCAATCAAATGAGTGATAGATATGATATCTCATTTTTTAATTGGTACCGTAATTATCAGAATAAGAATCTTGTAACAACACATGTACAATCTATAATAGTTAGTTGATCTGATATGAGGTAATTGATTAATTGAAGTTATTCATTTTCATTTTTATGGGGCCGCAGGCCGAAGAGAAGTGGACGTGGATCGTTAAGGGGGCTAGACACTGCAGAATATTTGATTGAGAACAGCAAATGCACCTGTGTGGGAGTACAGAGAAAGGGCCAAAATGCTGGATATGTTCTTAATACTAGAACACATAAAAACTTTTGGCTCTTAGCTTAATTCAATTAAATTATTACTTGATCCATCTCATTTCTCAGATCAATTAATATAATTAGTTTGTGACTTTGTGCTTCTTCCTTACGGTGACATTATTGTAAATTCTTTCCACTTTTAATTAAACAATTCACCTGCAGATCTATATTGTGATCTTCTGCATATTTATATCCACAAGGCTATTTGCTTATATCTCACCAGTTGTTAATTTAGTATTCTCTAGAATCTACATCTACAAATCCTCCCATGCAAAAGAATGGTTTTCTGGCTCTCTCAATATACCACACTACCGACACATTGAATGTATCAAAACGCAATATAACTCTCACGCAGACTCACCACATTGAAGCTGGAAGTGGTTTCATGGGTGAAGTAGTAGTATATTATTCCGATTCCTGGATATTAGAACCAATGAATATTATGTTTAGATTAAATGTGATAGTTATTGGTTTTGATATCCAAGAATTGGAATATTGATAAGTCTGACCCACACATGTTTCACTTTAACAATCACTTTTTTATTTAGTACATACTCCCATAAATTTGTCTCGTTTTACCTTTTTCATTCGTCCCATTAAGTTTGTGATGGAGTATATGGCTCACGAACCTCCGGTCAACAGACTCCCACTACTCCAACACAGGCCCAAGAAGCACAAGAGGCCCAAAGTACAGCGGCCCAAGCTCAAAGGAGCCCAAGGTTCGCCAGGGATAGCCTTCGGCAACATGACCGAATGCTCCAAAACTCACAGGACAGCCAGTTTTGAGCATACGAAGTTACAGGGAGAAAACGACAGAAATCAGGAGCCTTCGTCACTTTCATGCCCTCGGCATCGGGGAAGCCTTCGGCACTTTCGTGCCTTCGGCTACACAGAGTCCTCGGCCACGGGGACAGCCTTCGGCTAAACAGCTCAATCATCGGAGATTCCCTATGGAGACAAGCAATCACCGCATTTAATGCGGCGTCACATCCAACCACTGCATGTAATGCAGTGCACATGCGAGTGCCGGTGCGACCTCGATTGAGGTGACCCCTCGGCCGTTAGATTACTGACACGTGTACTCTCATCGCATTTATTGCTGCTATAAATAGCAGGCCCTATTCCTCTTGTAAAGGTTCCACATCTGAGATCCCAGAACAAGTTCATTCAATATACTTGGCTCTCTCTATCTTACTTGTTTGCTCTGACTTCTCTCTAAGTTATTCTCCACAATAACCCCTCGGATAAGCTACCCCCCGGTACACTGTCCATCAGTTTGTTTCATACCATATTTGATAATATTTGGGTGTCTACAGTTCGTTCTTACTTTATTTACACTTTATAAATTTCATATCAACCACACATTTCTACTTTTTTTTTTAAATCCCACCACACCTCTTTGTCCCAAACATAGGGGGATGGAGGTATCGTACCTCAATGCATTCGGTAGCCCAAAGTCATTTCTACATCAATTGTAATATTCTAATTTATCCATGTGGATAAGATATATAAAGAGTTACTTAGGGTCTGTATAGTAACAAATATATTTTCCAGTTTTTAAATCTTTTTCTATTCTCCAATTTTCTATTTTAATTTTTTAATTTTTCAATCTCTGTTTTTCCGTTTTCTAGTTTTCTATTTTCAAATCTAAAAACATGTTCATCAATGTTTTTCTCTCGATTCTGTGATTGACCAAAAGTAAGGTCCAAGGTCCCCGGTCCCGAGTATAGGAAATTCATGAGCGAAACCGGTCGGTCCTGGTCGGTCTCAATGGCTAGTTTGACTAATTCTTTTCCCTTTTTCCTATTGGTTAGCGACTTAACGGCTCTTTTGAATCCCTTCACTTTAAAAAATGATTTAAAAAATGGGGACCAAACCGCCGAGTCATCGACTGGACTCAACAGGGATTGTTGGGTCACTGATGCGACCGGCCCAGGACCGCCCGGTCGTTGATCAGGCCGGACAGAGACCGCGCGGTCGTTGATCAGACCGGACAGAGACCGCCCGGTCGTTGATCAGACCGAACAAAGACCGTTGGGTCGTTGAAAGGAGAGGACAGGGACCGCAAAGTCGTTGACCGGACAGGACAAGGATCGCAAGGTCATCGACCAAACCTGACAAGGACCGCCGAGTCGTTGACGTGACCAAACAGAGACCGTTGGGTTGTTGACTGGACCGGACCGGGACTACTCGACCATCGACCAGACCAGAACGAGATTGCTCGGCTGTCAACCGGACCGGATAGGTATAGTACCACCGGTTCGTTGGCCGGATCGAACATGGACCATGGGGTCGTTGACCGGAATGGACAAGGATCGTCAGGTTGTTGACCGATCCGAATAGGGACCACCGAGTCATTGACTGAACCGTACCGGAACTAACACCAAAGCGGGACCAGATTCACCCCTAGGCGTAAGTATGCAAATTCATTGCAGCCGCACTACAACATCTGCTTATTACAAATTTGGAAAATTAGTAAAACTCACTTTACCAATTTATTAAGGAATACATAAACATATCTCATTTTTTTGTTTTGGAAAACAATTTGGTAAATACATTTTTCGGTTTTCTTTTCTCCAATTTTCCATCAACTTTTTTCCAGTAAATACGTTTTATGTTTTTCCTCTTCCAGTTTTTCAATTTATTGAAAAACTGGAAAATATCTCCATTACTAAAGAGACCCTTAATTTTCCATTGCGTTAATTTGATACTTTTGTAAGTGTGCTTTATGCATTAGGTTATGTATTTTTAACTACATTTTTTAATTAAAAAACAGCATGTCACGCCCCGGACCTACCCGGACACGTCAACAACCCGCCGTACAGTACGAATAGTCAACCGCAGTCCAACTCATCCATACTATACAAGGCGTCTTGAATACCATTCACAATAGTACATCCATAAACAATCATAATGTAAATCATTTCATTAAGCAGCGGAAATATCAATACAAGCATTCGAGCCACACGTGGCAAACACGGGCATACAAGCCCTAAATAATTATTCGGAAAATAGTATCCATGAGCATTAATTTAAATATTTTAAAATAGGAACGGAGGAAGCACGAACCACGTCTTCTCTCCTTCAAGCTTCCCAAGCAACGGCAAAGATAGCGAGCTTTATCCCCTACCTGAAACTGTGAGGTGGCCTCCCCCGTGAAGGGGAGGTCAGTACTTGGAAGCATTTGACAAGTACAATGACAACTATACTAAGTATAATCAAAGTTTCAATTTCCAAGACCCTCACATAGGGTGATAATATAATATAGGTCATAACCCGTGGTTACCCTATTTGAAAATATACTTACTTTATATATAAAGTCAAGTAGTCGGCCCGAGGACCCAACGTTTTTCTTTGAAAACGTTCAACCCTTTCCCCGTGGCTTCAAGCCACGCCCATCTATAATAGTTCACCATGCTAGAGGCTTCCTCTAGTCATGTCTTGTCGTGCTAGAGGCGTACTCTAGTCACTACATTCAGTGTTAGAGGCTTCCTCTAATCACCTTACATGCGTTGTGCTGGAGGCTTCCTCCAGTCACCTTACATTATGCTAGAGGCTTCCTCTAGTCATCCTACACTTACGCTAGAGGCTTCCTCTAGTCGTCCTACACGAATGCTGGAGGCTTCCTCCAGTCATTCTTCATCGTGCTAGAGGCTTCCTCTAGTCACGATACTAACTCACTAAGCAAATTCTATGCCTAGGATTTCTCTATCTTGAGTAGCCTATGAGGCCTACTCCTAATGTAATTTAGCGGTTACTCATTCCTACCTTAAGACATCTCATAAGACTGTTTAAGGTGCATCTTTCACAATCCAAGCCCTTAGGATTTGTTCTATCACTTTTTATACTAACGTTCTCGACTAGTGAATTCCATACTAATCCATTAGTCTTTAACCAACCAAGATCTTTAATTCATCTTTATAAGGTTCATTCCTACGGATTTTCCACTCCGTGTATGATTTAATCTCAATATCAAAAATATCACTTTTATCCATTCATGATTTCTATACATGAAGTAAAAGTATATTTTATCACACCAATTCATGGTTTACACAGTCCTTAAACCATCATATTTATAATGCGTCATCATACACAATTTTCTCACAAACTTGTATGTTATGCATCTTCTATTCACAAACAATAATATTTCCATTTAGGCATTATTAATCATTAATAATCCATGAAAGTCACATTTAATTACTTTAGGTAATCTTATGAAATTAACCCAAAGATTATAAGCAATATAGTCGGTCATCCTCACCTTAAGTGAGCTTAAGCGCGTTTTACGTTCCCCGATTTGAACTTTGACTAATTCCGGCAAGCTTTGACCAACTCCGGCGTACTTTGACCAATTCCGGCGAAACTCCGGCGAGGTTCAAAAATGCTTAAGTCAAGTCCCTAACAAGGTTTTAACATCATAAAACCTTAATCAATACAAATAACCTCTAAAGGTTATTTTCCGGTAAACCGGTCGTTTTGACTTCTAAATCCGTTCTTGGACCTAGAACCACTTTCCAACCCATCATTCTACACTTAATCATGTAGAACCATTCTCAAGGGTCTTCATATGATATATATCTCATATGATAGAAGAAAAATAAAGGAAAAGTTAATATAAGGTCTTTACCTTAACCCTTCTCACTTTCTCCTCACTTTTTCCTTCTCAAAGACCTCCTTTTGGACTCCTTAAGCTTGAGCTCTCTTCAAAGATGGAGAATGGAGGATGGAAAATTACTCTTGCTTCTTTCTTGGGTGCTGGCCGAGATGGGGGGTGAGGGAGAGAGGGGTGAGATTTTCTTTTTGGCTTTCTTGCCAAATGAGTGAGGATGGGGTCCTTAGGATGTCAAAATGGTCTCCCCCATCATCTCAAGGTTTTCAGACCTTGTTTGAGACAAATCAGCCTCCATTTTGTGGCCAAAATCGTGGGTTGGCCCCCACTCATGTGGGAGGTCAACCCCTTTTGTCCCGAAGTGTACAATCGGTCCCGAAAGTTGTATTTTTCGGACAGTTTTTGTTATATTTTATTTTATCGGGTCAAATAAAATATTTTACATGCTCTTTAGCCAACATGAACCTTATAATGAATATTCATTCCCCAACTTTAATTTATAAGTCCCCGAAATTCAATTTCGGACATTTATCGGTAAAATCGTCAATACCGGTATTTGGGCCTCTCTTGACCAATCGGTCAACTCTGGACCTTTCCATGGTTCAAATGAATTATCCACCACCATATAATTATTATCTAGACTAAGATGAATAATTTATGTGGTCCCGGGAATATCGGGCGGCCCCCGCTTCCGGGCGGGCCTCACGTGCGAATTTACTATTCGTGCGAAAGAATTAATAAAAATTCGTAACATCATAATTTCTTTAACCATTCCATAAGGTTAAAATATAATATTCACATAAAAGTAAATACATTTGGGGACGGTGTTACAAGTTCACCCCCCCTTATTTGGGATTTCGTCCCCGAAATCCACGTGTCTAGTCGAAAAGAAAAGGGTATTGCTCCCTCATCGAGACCTCGGTCTCCCATGTTTCTTCCTCGACCCGATCACTCCTCCAAAGGACTTTCACCATAGGAATCTCCTTGTTTCTCAATTTCTTCACTTGTTGTCCCACAATCTTCACCGGTTCCACCGCATATTGTAGGTCTTCGCGTATCTCTACCGGTGGCCTCTCAAGGATATGAGACGGGTCTCTCACGTATTTCTTGAGCATCGATACATGGAACACATCGTGTATCTTCTCAAGTTCCGGCGTCAACTTGAGTCGGTATGCTACGGCCCCTATCCTTTCAAGGATTTCAAATGGACCAATGTATCGGGGGTTAAGCTTTCCCCTCGATATAAATCGGATGATACCCTTCCAAGGAGAAATCCTTAGGAAGACCTTATCACCGACCTCGAATTCCAATGGCCTTCGTCGTTTGTCGGCATAGCTCTTCTGCCGATCTTGGGCGGCCTTGAGTCTATCCTGAATGACTTTCACCTTAGCCTTGGTGATTTCAACAAGTTCAATCCCCTCGAGCTTGGCCTCGCCAACCTCGTCCCAACATAACGGTGTTCTGCACTTCCTCCCATACAATGCCTCGTATGGAGGCATGCCGATACTCGCCTGATAACTGTTGTTATAGGCGAATTCGACTAGAGCCAAATGTTTGTCCCAACTTCCTTGGAACTCCAGAGCACACGCCCTAAGCATGTCCTCCAATATCTGTATCACTCGCTCGGATTGTCCATCCGTCTGTGGATGAAAAGCCGTGCTGAACTTCAATTTAGTACCCAAAGATGCTTGAAACTTGGGCCAAAATCGAGATGTGAATCGTGGATCCCTATCCGAGACAATGGATATCGGGACTCCATGTAGTCTCACAATCTCCTCCGTGTATAGTTTTGCCAATCTTTCAAGAGGGTAAGTGATGTTAATAGGCAAAAAGTGAGCACTCTTGGTGAGCCTATCAACTACTACCCATACCGCATCATAGTTGTTCACGGTCCGTGGCAACCCCACCACGAAATCCATAGTCACATGCTCCCACTTCCATTCTGGAATGGAAAGTGGCTGTAATAACCCAGCTGGATGCTGATGCTCTGCCTTGACTTGCTGACAAGTAAGGCACCGACTGATGTACTCGGCTATCTCTCTCTTCATACCGGACCACCAGTAACTTTCTTTCAAATCGCGATACATCTTCGTGCCCCCCGGGTGCATGGCATAAGCCGATGAATGAGCTTCCTCTAAGATGGACTTTCGGAGCTCATCATCTGCCGGCACACACACTCGGTCGCGAAATAATAAAAGACCGTCGTCTCTTTCTCTGAAGTCCTCCACCGGTCCCGCTTGCAAGCGTTCCCTGATCTTCACAATTTCATCGTCAGTTTCCTGACCCTTCTTGATCTCATCAAGCAAAGTAGGTCTCACCTCAAACCGTGCCAATAAGGCACCATTACTGGACACCTCCAGTTGGGCTCTTAATGCCCTCAAATTAGCTATCAATGCCCCAGTTGAGCTCTTTCGGCTCAAAGCATCTGCCACTACATTTGCCTTGCCTGGATGGTACTCAATCACTAGGTGGTAGTCCTTTATGAACTCCATCCACCGTCTCTGCCTCATGTTTAACTCTTTCTGAGTAAACACGTACTTCAAGCTCTTATGGTCAGTGTATATGTGACATGTCTCTCCGTAGAGATAATGTCTCCAAATCTTCAGTGCGAACACCACTGCTCCCAACTCTAGATCATGGGTGGGGTAATTTACCTCATGCTTCTTCAACTGTCGTGAAGCATAGGCAATTACCCTCCCCTCCTGCATTAACACACATCCAAGCCCTTGGATGCTCGCGTCACTATAGACATCGTACCCCATACCCTGTTTGGGTAATGCAAGTACCGGTGCCTCGGTTAATCTCCTCTTCAGTTCAGCGAATCCTTTCTCACACTTGTCATCCCATACAAACTTAGCTCCTTTTCGAGTGAGCTTTGTCAACGGTGATGCCAAAACAGAGAACTTTTCCACGAACTTTCTATAGTATCCTGCCAATCCAAGGAAACTACGAATTTCCTTGACGTTCTTTGGCCTCTCCCATTCGGTGATGGCTTCTATCTTCTTGTTATCAACAGCAATCCCCGATCCCGAAACCACATGCCCGAGAAAACCAATCTCCTTGAGCCAAAATTCACATTTAGAAAATTTGGCATAGAGTTGCTTCTCCCGTAGTGTCTCAAGAACGAGTATCAAGTGCTCCTCATGCTCTTCCTCGCTCTTTGAGTAGATCAAGATGTCATCAATGAACACAATCACGAATCGGTCCAAGTATTTGTGAAATACTCGGTTCATCAAGTCCATGAATGCCGCCGGGGCGTTTGTTAACCCAAACGACATAACGAGGAACTCAAAATGCCCATACCTCGTGCGGAAAGCACTCTTCGGTATGTCATCCTCCTTAATCTTCAATTGATGGTACCCCGACCTCAAGTCGATCTTTGAAAACACGGTTGCTCCTCGTAGTTGATCAAACAAGTCATCAATCCTAGGCAAAGGATACCTATTCTTGATTGTGACCTTGTTCAGTTGACGATAGTCAATGCACATTCGAAGTGTTCCATCCTTCTTTTTCACAAAAAGAACCGGTGCTCCCCACGGGGAGTGGCTTGGTCTAATGAAACCGTTATCCAAAAGCTCTTGCAATTGGGTTTTCAACTCGTTAAGTTCAGCGGGTGCCATGCGGTACGGCGGTATGGAGATTGGTTTGGTGCCGGGCTCGACCTCGATCACGAACTCAATCTCCCTATCGGGTGGAAGTCCCGGTAAGTCTTTTGGAAAGACATCCGGATACTTGCATACTACCCTCACATCATCAATGCTCGCCTCTTCCTTGGTTTTGTCTATTACATAAGCTAGATAAGCGTGACATCCCTTTCTCATCATACTCCTAGCCCTTACGGCGGATATGATACAACTATTGGATTTGGCCCTATCCCCCTCGAAGCGTAAGGTTGCCCCTTCGTCGCTTTCGAGTTCAAGTACTTTCGTGTAGCAATCGACCCTAGCATGATGCTTCTCAAGCCAATCCATCCCCAGGATTGCATCAAATTCAATCATACTCAGCGGCACGAAATCACACAACAAGTTTTGGCCCTCCACTTCCACCTCACACGATGGATAGTGGCTATCTCTCTCGATGTCTTCCCCTAGGGGTGTGGATACCAATAGGGCTTGAGCCATCGGTACCAGGGGCACATTGAATCCTCCGGCGAATGCCTCACTCACAAATGATCGTTGCGCCCCGGTATCGATGAGGATTCTCGCACATCTCCCATTAATCTTTAGTGTTCCTACATTTATAAGCCATGTAAGATACCTCTCTAACATACCGACCAATCCTACGAAGAACATCGTGCGAAATTATGTCCTTAAAGTGGGCAAAATCCCCCAATTATGGTTGACGTTCGCAGTTAAGATATAAATTGACACTGTCTCACCGTTTTGATCATATCTCTTCACATACTTAACCAAATCGTTCGATTCAAATTCCATCATTTAGACAATGAAAATATCTACAACTTTCATGAAGACAACTTTTTCATTTGACGAACACTTCGAGGTGTACCCGGTCGGGTAACATACTATACCCGGTCGGGTATAGGTTCCAGTGGGTTCGGGCAGAATTTTTTTGACAAACCCGGTCGGGTATAACACCATACCCGGTCGGGTATGTGTTCCAGTGGGTGTCGGGGAGAAATTTTTGACAAACCCGGTCGGGTATACCACCATACCCGGTCGGGTATGTGTTCCAGTGGGTGTCGGGAGAATTTTTTTTGACAAACCCGGTCGGGTATACCACCATACCCGGTCGGGTATGTGTTCCAGTGGACTTATGAGTGCAAAAACTTGGCCTACCCGGTCGGGTTCATTACCAAACCCGATCGGGTATGCGATCCAGAAGGTTTACGAGGGCAAAAACTTGTCCTACCCGGTCGGGTTTATTGCCCTACCCGGTCGGGTAGTAGCATGGTTTTGCTCTCCTTTCCCATTTCAATCTTACGTCCGCTCCCGCCTGGATTCTAGGATTTATAACTCCAATTTATGGATGAGGAATGGGTAAAATACGGGAAGTGGAGCGGTCGTACCTGCAACCGAATCTGGGTTAGCTCGGGCGTCCGCCTCCGTCATTGCGTAGACCCTTGCTTGGGTCCTTCCTTGGTTAACGGACGGCGCATTGCTCGTGCTTGCTCCCCCTTGGCCCGTACTAGCATGAGGTGCTCCGGTTCGGTTCCTACTTGCCGTAGTAGGGCCGCTTGATCCCGCCCCTCGGTTCCCACCAAGTTGTGGGCAGTTGGGCTTTATGTGCCCCGTATCCCCGCATTGGTAGCACCGTGGGGGATCGCGACATTTGCCCTCATGGTTTCTCTTGCAATTCCTGCACTTGGGCTTCGTCGAGGCTTGTGACCCCGAGTTTCGCCCACCCATGTTGGGATTCCCCCTTGATGGTAGTGCGGGTGCCCTGAAGGATCCTCCTCCCCCGTGATTCCCCTTCTTGTTTGAACCTTGGGAACCATGGCTCTCCCATTTTCTTTTCTTTGCCTCCTCGGCATTTCTTCGCTTCCTCTCTTCCCACTCCTTCTCTCCCTTCAAACCTTGTTCCACCACTTGACTAAATGTCATATTAGGCAATTGTGTTGCCCTCTCGCGTATGTCAAGGTCCAAGGCATCCCAGAAATGGTTCACCATCCGATTTTCATCACAAATGTACTCCGGTATGAACTCGGCAAGCTTTCTGAATTTGTGCTCAAGTTCCTTCACCGTGCATTCCCCTCCTTGGGTCAAATTCGTGTACTCCCTCCTCTTCAAGTTCACCTCGAAGTCGGAGTAGTATTGGCTAAAGAATTCTTGCCTAAAGTTCTCCCAAGTGACGGCCTCGCCGTACTTCCCTTTAACTCCGTCCCACCATGTGGACGCCATGCCTTCTAGCAATCTTGTTGCCACCCTCATCTTCATGTGGGGTGGCAGTTGCATGTCAAGGGCCGCTTCGTTGAATCTCTTGATCCATTCGGCCGCAACGGAGATGTCTCCCGTTCCGTCAAACGGTTTACAGCCCAACTCCCTTGCCTCCTTGAGGTACTTCGAGATCCGTATAATAGGAACCTCGGCACCTCGACCTCCTCGGGGTTCAATGCTCTCCCTAGGAGTCGCGCGGCTTCCTCTCCTCGAAGCTCTTTCCAAAGCACGCCTTGCCCGGCGCCTTTGGCGATCTTGTTGGTATTGCCGGAGCAATTCCTCAATCCGTTCAAGAGCGTCATTATCATCACTCTCGTCACTAGCATCGTCGTGTTCCCCATCATATGGGGTCTCAACTGGCCCAGTTCCCGGTTGGTAAGTTGAATCCTCCTCGGACTCATAGTGCTCATCTATTGTTTCCACGTGACCGTCACTCACGGTCAGCGAGTGGCCTGCACGGCCCTGTCCCATAGACTCACTTGATCCCCCCCGACTGCCACGTTGGGATCCTCCCAGTGCCTGGCCCGTCGGGTTCCGTCGAGTAACTCTACCGGTACGTTCCATTTCTGAAAGAAATTGAAAATGAGTCATTAGACTCGTATCAAATGTCAATTGACGGATAGGTACTTAAAGACATCTTTTGGCTCAAATCACCGCCATACCAATTGTTAAGGGTACCATCTTAACAATTAGAGACTTTGCAACTCAAGTACCAAAAGTTCTATAAGTACAAAACTTTTTATGCTCATGGTTTTCAAATTCGTTTTCAAAAAGAGGTTTTGAAGCTTCATTATGAAGTTTACGGACTAAGGCTCTGATACCAATTAAATTGTCACGCCCCGGACCTACCCGGACACGTCAACAACCCGCCGTACAGTACGAATAGTCAACCGCAGTCCAACTCATCCATACTATACAAGGCGTCTTGAATACCATTCACAATAGTACATCCATAAACAATCATAATGTAAATCATTTCATTAAGCAGCGGAAATATCAATACAAGCATTCGAGCCACACGTGGCAAACACGGGCATACAAGCCCTAAATAATTATTCGGAAAATAGTATCCATGAGCATTAATTTAAATATTTTAAAATAGGAACGGAGGAAGCACGAACCACGTCTTCTCTCCTTCAAGCTTCCCAAGCAACGGCAAAGATAGCGAGCTTTATCCCCTACCTGAAACTGTGAGGTGGCCTCCCCCGTGAAGGGGAGGTCAGTACTTGGAAGCATTTGACAAGTACAATGACAACTATACTAAGTATAATCAAAGTTTCAATTTCCAAGACCCTCACATAGGGTGATAATATAATATAGGTCATAACCCGTGGTTACCCTATTTGAAAATATACTTACTTTATATATAAAGTCAAGTAGTCGGCCCGAGGACCCAACGTTTTTCTTTGAAAACGTTCAACCCTTTCCCCGTGGCTTCAAGCCACGCCCATCTATAATAGTTCACCATGCTAGAGGCTTCCTCTAGTCATGTCTTGTCGTGCTAGAGGCGTACTCTAGTCACTACATTCAGTGTTAGAGGCTTCCTCTAATCACCTTACATGCGTTGTGCTGGAGGCTTCCTCCAGTCACCTTACATTATGCTAGAGGCTTCCTCTAGTCATCCTACACTTACGCTAGAGGCTTCCTCTAGTCGTCCTACACGAATGCTGGAGGCTTCCTCCAGTCATTCTTCATCGTGCTAGAGGCTTCCTCTAGTCACGATACTAACTCACTAAGCAAATTCTATGCCTAGGATTTCTCTATCTTGAGTAGCCTATGAGGCCTACTCCTAATGTAATTTAGCGGTTACTCATTCCTACCTTAAGACATCTCATAAGACTGTTTAAGGTGCATCTTTCACAATCCAAGCCCTTAGGATTTGTTCTATCACTTTTTATACTAACGTTCTCGACTAGTGAATTCCATACTAATCCATTAGTCTTTAACCAACCAAGATCTTTAATTCATCTTTATAAGGTTCATTCCTACGGATTTTCCACTCCGTGTATGATTTAATCTCAATATCAAAAATATCACTTTTATCCATTCATGATTTCTATACATGAAGTAAAAGTATATTTTATCACACCAATTCATGGTTTACACAGTCCTTAAACCATCATATTTATAATGCGTCATCATACACAATTTTCTCACAAACTTGTATGTTATGCATCTTCTATTCACAAACAATAATATTTCCATTTAGGCATTATTAATCATTAATAATCCATGAAAGTCACATTTAATTACTTTAGGTAATCTTATGAAATTAACCCAAAGATTATAAGCAATATAGTCGGTCATCCTCACCTTAAGTGAGCTTAAGCGCGTTTTACGTTCCCCGATTTGAACTTTGACTAATTCCGGCAAGCTTTGACCAACTCCGGCGTACTTTGACCAATTCCGGCGAAACTCCGGCGAGGTTCAAAAATGCTTAAGTCAAGTCCCTAACAAGGTTTTAACATCATAAAACCTTAATCAATACAAATAACCTCTAAAGGTTATTTTCCGGTAAACCGGTCGTTTTGACTTCTAAATCCGTTCTTGGACCTAGAACCACTTTCCAACCCATCATTCTACACTTAATCATGTAGAACCATTCTCAAGGGTCTTCATATGATATATATCTCATATGATAGAAGAAAAATAAAGGAAAAGTTAATATAAGGTCTTTACCTTAACCCTTCTCACTTTCTCCTCACTTTTTCCTTCTCAAAGACCTCCTTTTGGACTCCTTAAGCTTGAGCTCTCTTCAAAGATGGAGAATGGAGGATGGAAAATTACTCTTGCTTCTTTCTTGGGTGCTGGCCGAGATGGGGGGTGAGGGAGAGAGGGGTGAGATTTTCTTTTTGGCTTTCTTGCCAAATGAGTGAGGATGGGGTCCTTAGGATGTCAAAATGGTCTCACCCATCATCTCAAGGTTTTCAGACCTTGTTTGAGACAAATCAGCCTCCATTTTGTGGCCAAAATCGTGGGTTGGCCCCCACTCATGTGGGAGGTCAACCCCTTTTGTCCCGAAGTGTACAATCGGTCCCGAAAGTTGTATTTTTCGGACAGTTTTTGTTATATTTTATTTTATCGGGTCAAATAAAATATTTTACATGCTCTTTAGCCAACATGAACCTTATAATGAATATTCATTCCCCAACTTTAATTTATAAGTCCCCGAAATTCAATTTCGGACATTTATCGGTAAAATCGTCAATACCGGTATTTGGGCCTCTCTTGACCAATCGGTCAACTCTGGACCTTTCCATGGTTCAAATGAATTATCCACCACCATATAATTATTATCTAGACTAAGATGAATAATTTATGTGGTCCCGGGAATATCGGGCGGCCCCCGCTTCCGGGCGGGCCTCACGTGCGAATTTACTATTCGTGCGAAAGAATTAATAAAAATTCGTAACATCATAATTTCTTTAACCATTCCATAAGGTTAAAATATAATATTCACATAAAAGTAAATACATTTGGGGACGGTGTTACACAGCACACATAATACCTCATTTTATTCTACAAACTTTGTCACTTTCACCTATTAAATATAGTATCTCTTTTCTCTTTTATGTCTTACCCACACATGTTTCACTTTACCAATAACTTTTTTTATTAATTACATAGTGCATGCCATAGTAACTAACGATCACACCAATAAGTGAGTGTAGCGTTGTTCGAAGTCAATGGTAGATCTTATGAGTGTACAAGTTGTTCGGTCAATGGTCAAACAACGGATGTACGAGAGAGGTTCGGGGCATGATCTCTTGCATACCTTCGACCCGGACACCGGTCTTACAACTAGGCATGTACAAATAGTTTCATACATACTTGGGAAAAAACTGGTTATCCGATCCCTTTCTGAAAGTCGAACTAAAGTCGGCCAAACGTAAGGGTATGACCTTGCATGATCGGACCAGAACGGACCCGCACCACTGACCATATAGTAGTATATCAAACGAGTATACGGGTTGTTAAGTCTAGCAACGTCAGACGACAGATGTATGAGTGTGGCTCGGGGCACGACCTCTCGATCTCGCATACCTTCGGCCATATAGTCGATGCACTGTTGATTAAATCAAAAGAAGTATGCGAGATGCTTAGACAAGAACGCCAGACAAAGAATGTATGAGAGGAGTTTGGGGAACGACCTCTCGTATACCTTTTCGACCCGGAGGTCGGTCTTACGGTCGCCCTGACCGAGCAGCTTATCTTGAACTTAGAAAATAGTTTGATCATTTCCTTGTTTGAGGATCGAGTCGTGATCAACTAAACACCGACAGTGGGGCGTGATAGTAGTTAGTTTTTTTTGCTTCTTTTGTTCTTTTTCCTTTTCTTTTTCATTTTAGTCGTCGCTCATTCATTCGCAATGTTTGCTCCCTCCCATCAATTATTCACCTCATCAAGTTGGTATGTAAAATTCAATGAAGGTTAGTCCAAAATATCCACTTTTAAAAGTGAAAACAACTCATTATAGTAATTATAAACTATAGGCGTAGATCATATGCAGTCTTCTTAACAACTCGTGAAGAAATGTTGTTGAGAGTAGTTGAGGACATGGAGTCAGAGTAATACTCACGTGTAATGACATACAAGAATATAATGAAGGTTGATGGAATTCTAAGCATTTCCCTTCATACTTCGTAACTCGATCATCATTCTCGGCTAATCTCAATGACATTTTTTCTCACATAGCTAGCAAAGAGGAATAGGCTAGGAGCAGCAATTACGACTTGAAATCCCGATGGAGAATTGTTTTTACTTTTAGAAGCATACAGAGTATTATTTTGACAATTTTATGAAGTTAAATGCTGATGGAAGGGGTGACAGGTCAGAAAAGTCAAAAGTTGACAGGAAATCGATTGACTTTCTAAATGCATGATTGAACAAATAATTGTTACGATCTAATAAAATTGAACATAGAAAAATGAGATAATAAAAGAAGGTAGATTTTTGGTACTTATAAAGTATTATACATTTATCTATATAGATCAATCAAAATAATGTAGTTGAATTATATAAATTATATAAAGAATTGAAAATTAGAAATAATATAATGTTTTGAACCAATTAAATGAGTTATATGCACGATATCCCATTTTTAATTGAGTACCGTAGTTCTCACCTAAAAGAATAATATTGTAACTACACATGAACAATCAATAATAGTTGGTTGATACGTGAAGTTATCCATTTTCATTTTTATGGGAAATGCACGCCAAAGAGAAATGGACGAGGATCATTAAGAGGGCTAGACACTGCAGAATATTTGATTGAGAACAGCAAAATACACCTGTGTGGGAGTACAGAGAAAGGGCCAAAATGCTGGATATGTTCTTAATACTAGAACACATAAAAACATTTGGCTCTTATCTTAAATCAACTTAATTATTACGTGATCTATCTCATTTCCCAGATCAATTGATATAATTAGGATGTTTTCTTTTGGACTGAAATTTGTTGGTCTGCTCTGCTCTGGTCTGAACCGGCCTGATATGGTCTGGTAAACGTCTGGTCTCTATGTATTTTATAACTAGAGAAGTCTGGTCTGGGACTGAAAACAGTCCAAAAGAAAACATCCTTAGTTTGTGCTTCTTCCTTAAATCCTTATGGTGACATTATTGTAAATTCTTTCCACTTTTAATTAAATAATTCACCTCTAAATATACAGTATACTTGTCTCTCTAGCTATCTACTTGCAGCTAGATATTATTGTGATCAACATATTTATATCCACAAGGCTACTTACTAATATATCACCAGTTCTTAATTTAGTATTCTCTACAATCTACATCAACAAATCCTACATACCATGCAAAAGTACTATCTACCACTTCTTAATTTATATCCTTTAATGGTTTTGTGGCTCTCCCAATAGGCCACACCGACACTTTCAATGTGTCAAAACGCTAAATAACTCCCACGCAGACTCACTTCACCGAAGCTTGAAGTGGTTTAATGGGTGAAGTAGTATATTATTCCATTTCCTAGATATGAGAACCAATGAATATCATGTTTAGACTAAATATGATGCTTATTGGATCTCATATCTAGGAACTGGAATATTGATAATTACTTCTTCTTTTATATTGCAAATTTTTTAGGGGTATTAATTAAAAGGCACACATAATACCACGTTTTATTCTATAAACTTTGTCACTTTCCTTAAAAAATTTGAGTGTATTATTGTTGTGAACCTGAAGTTCCCACATCGCTCGCACACAAGATAGTGTGTGTGCTTATAAGTAGGGCCCCAAGCCTTTACTTGTGGATGCGTCGTTTTAAAGTCGTGGGGTCTTGAAGTATCAAATTAAAGCGGACAATATCCACAAGTTATTTATAATAACACGTTATTAGCACGATGCTCGCGGTGGGAGGGTGTGTTGTGAACCTTAAAGTCCCACATCGCTCGCACACAAGATAGTGTGCGGGCTTATAAGCAGGGTCTAATAAAGCCTTTACTTGTAAACACGTTTTAAAGTCGTGAGATCCTGAAGTATTAAAGCGAACAATTAATATCCACAAGCTGTTTATAACATACTACGGAGTATATGGTTTTTTCTTTTTATTAGACTCAGCCGCACATGTTTCACTTTAACAATTGAATCACTTTTTAATTAATAACCTGGTACATGCTACAGTAACGTATCGGCCACACATGTAAGTGACGGACGTAATCTTACCTCAACGCATTCGGTAGGTAGGAGTCATTACTTCATCATTTTTTATAGACTCCGTATGAATAAAAGGAAATAGAATCAAATAGGACCAAAAGATAGCTCATGTAAGTAAATACTCCTTTTTTATCACACCCAAACACGATGCCGGCGTTATTGCTACTTGAACAACTCCCTTGTCCACGCTGAAACATCTTTTAAAATTACTCTAAATATGACCAAAACTTAGACAAAATGTGTAAAGAGGACTACATATATTTTATTTCCAAAATACATAGTAGAACTTATCTGATCCTATTAAATGTATAAAACTACATCTATTAGACCATTTGGAGTGGTGAGGTATTAGGAGTCTAAAAAGCTAAATATAGAATTTTTGGACTCCTAATTGTGTGTAGTGGTAGTTTAAAAGGGATATTAAAAATGGGAAAATGGATGGAGGGGGTTAAATATAGAGGGTTGGTTAAGAGGAGTGGGAAAAGGAAAAAGAAAGAAAAAAGAAGAGAAAGGACGGTCCTGGGTTGCTTTTTTGTGCGGATGATATCATGCTGATGTCATCCTTGCATCATAATATCCCAAAAATTTTTAAGCTTGTATAACTTTTTTATTTTTTTCCAAATTTTTCAAAAAATATATCAAAATTCATAAATTTTTATGATCTTTCATATGATAGCAATATGTAATATATTAAATGATTTTTTTTAAGTTTTAACTGGTGAAGTTTTCTTGAATCTCGGAAAAACATGAAACACAATTTTTTAATTCATGGAGCCTTCACAAATAATTGAATATTCCATAATAATCAAACTTTACTTGAACTAAGTTCATATTTTGTTAACAAAAAAATTTAAAAAAATTAATTAAATTTATTTATTTTTACATCGAAATATGTATTTTTTATTTCATAATTATTCAGCGAAAAAATTAAAAGCAAAACATTACTTATAATAATTTAATTAATGTTTTTCTAAATTGATAGGTTAAAATATATGTTGAGTGTATTTCATTGACGGTGTTGGAATGCAAGAAAATGGGAGTCTAAACACTGTTTTCCTATCGACGGAGTCCATTTTTAACATTTTGGCCTCTCAACCACTACAAATGGTCTTCAAAGTGAAAAATTCTATTTTAGAAAGAAAACAATGATGACCCTATATGTGCACTTTGTTCGCAAACTA